GGGAGCAGGGTGGACTCAAAGTCGTACACCTGGTAGTATGTGTGCAACTCTGAGTTGGACACAGGGGAGTGGTGGTGTGATGAGGAGTAAGAACTCAGCTGGAGGAGCCAGGGCTCATAACCTAAGAGATCCTGTACAGAGGACTCTCAGTCTAGTGGGAAGATCACTGACTGTATTAGGACTATACCTGTACAGAGGACTCTAAGAACCATATGAGTACAGTATAGTATGGGAATAGAAGATGAACATACCTCAGTCTAGTGGGAAGATCACTGACTGAGGAAAGGAAGGAGCGAAGCCAGCACTGTCTACAGCGCTGGCAGGTGGCAGTGCTTGTCTACTATAACAGGAAGGTAAGGTAATCTAATCTAATCTGACACGTCACCTGACCGCATTCCGACACGTCCTCCCCAATGGGGGGAACGGGAGCCTGAGTGTGCGCGCCCATGCACACGCGCCGTTCCGCCCGCTGTGGATTGTCGTCGACGCGTCGTGGCCCTCGCGCCACCCGTCCTCGCATCGTGACTCTCCGACGGCGTACACGGGTGTGCAGCAGGGCATCGCGCGCCGGTGTGTGTGGTGTCGCGAGACGCATCTGGACTATTGGGAGGAGCTGGAGGCGCAGTCAGGGAGGACCGGACGACAGATGGAGTTTCATTTCATCGGCAAGACCGTCCGGCTGACTATCAGTCATTGGGATTCCCGAGCGAGGGCTACCGAAACTGAGGGTAGCGGCGGAGGGTTGTACGCCGTCCATGTTGAGGTTGAAAATTGTGAGGAAGGGCCGGCTGACCACGGCTCTTCTCAGCTAGAACAAGCAGAAGTCCCCAAGAACGCTGCTCTCAGTCCGGAGACGGCTTCGAAACGCTCCAGTAGATCGAGCAGCAGACCGAACAGTGTGCGTTCTCTGCTGGCCGCTGTGCATCGTCAAGTCCTTGGGAAAGGTGTGTGCTCTCTCGTCCTGTGGACCAAGAAGTGCCATCTCAGATGGGTGTTACGTTCACAGGAAAAGGTCAACATCAATGACGTCTTGCTATGCCGTCCGTAACGCAGGCGATTCACCGACGTCTACGGCATAATGCATCATTGATTCCGCTCCTTGTGTCTCCAGTTATGGCGTGCATCGTTAATCCTAACTTAAACCATACCCTGTGAGAGCAATCGGGTCAACGCGCCCTGACTAGTGAAAGGAGGTCCTCTGAACTCTCTCACCGACGCCAGGAGAACCAGAAAGTAGGGCAGACTCTATCCTGAGGTCAGGAGAAACTAGTGAACCCGGTGTAGACGTCAAGGTATATAAAGGGTCTTATACGTGGGGAGAGAAGATTCCGAGTAGGGAGCGGTCCTTACACCCTCCTCCACTCTAAAGCAAATACACACATCAAGGCAAGTCAGGGACAGCGTCACGGAATTCATGATTGGAATGTAGGCAAGTATAAGTGCAGCAAGAACACGACACATAGAGCCGGGTAACCACGAGTCATGCGAGTATGGAAACCCCTCCCAGTGGATAAGGAAACGTAAGCCGCAACCTTGACGACGGTGGGGGAGGATTGAACGCGCGAGAGGGAAATAAGGAGTCATTGTTCGTGAGGTAATGTTTGAGCAACGAAGCATGGAAAGTGGGGAACATGTTCATCGTGGTGATTAAGTTCGAGTGTGTAGGCGGAAGGTTGGCAGGACTTCGTAGGAACCATCGTAACGCACAACGGACTTGGCGACACGATTGTCGACGCGTCGTATGTACGCCTGGCGACGGCGGAAAGTCGAGAGCAGGGCCATGTCGCCAACTTTGAATTCCTGGTCGTTAGTACGACCTCGGTTTGCCGCGGACATTTGGGCCACCTTCGCCGCCAGGGGGTCGTCCTGCGCCTCGGGTACATCGGTATCAATGCGTTCGAGGAGGTCGGCGACCAGGGCAGCCTCATCGGGGGCGTCTTTGACGGCGTTCGAGATGTTCGCGTTCACTGCGCTCATGATGGCGAATCGAACGCGAGGGAGCGCGCGAACCCACCCGCGTTAGTTTCTTGCGACGTGGTAGCATAAGGCCTGGATAACGGTGACAACGCTTGCTTGTGCCGAAGGCCCCTCCAGAACTTGTGCAAGCCTTCAGCGCTCGTGTGACACGACACCATGAGACGGGCAAAAGTAAGGGACCCCCATGCCTCGTTAGCCAAACCACTCCTGGACGTGCATGCTGATCACGCGATACTGTTCAAACCGCGTGGACTTCGGGCAGGGGTTGTGGCCAGTCATAAGTGATGCTATCGCAACAAAAGAGGGGTCCGAGAGACGACGTCCCTCAGCAGGCTCACTCTAGGTTACTGGCACGTTGGGGCTGGGTGGGTCATATTTCACGAAGATGGTGATGATGGTCTCGCCAGGATGCGATAGGTCGGGAGACAGGATCTATACCACAGTCCATAATTATGCCTGCGAGCATACATCAGAGGGTAGTCTAGACTATACAACAATGATTAACACATGACAAAGATGCGAACGACAGTCAACGCACCTAGAGTAGGTAAACTAAGACCTCTTCTACTTGAGCTTGGAGAAGAGTTTTGGTGCGACGCAGCCCTAAGACAGAGTAAGTTGCCATTGAGTTTCGTGAGCGGCATATTCTACATACGTTGACGCAGTGCATCAAGCTAGAGGACAACTGGTCAGCAACTTTGCAGAGATGTTATGAGGCGTTACACTTACTGGTCTGCGCGAAGGGAGGTGCAAGTGACGAGAATGAGTAGAGAAACCAACAAGAGCAAACCGCCAGTACTCACAGCTGTACAATGATGTCAGTACGCGGAAACACGAAGACAGTGAAGAAGGACGTACAATTCCTCAACGCAATCCTCACCCTTGTAGCCCTCGCCAGCGTGGACCTTCTCCTCACAGTGCGCGAAGTGCTGCGCGAGCGGCGCGCACTTGGCAGACTCCGTACACTCCTCCTGAAGTGCAGGAAGAATCTACGTACACCACGCGCGAGTGAAAACGCGTCTTCGTTACCAGCAGAAGAAAAGGGAACGTACATCCTCGGGCTCCTCCTCCTCTTCCTCCTGGGGCTCCTTTGCAGGCTCCTCCTGAGACTCCTCCTGAGGAGGCTTCTCCGCCTTTTCCTCCGGAGCGTCTGCGTGGACGGTGGGGAAGATCGCAGAGAACAGCGAAGAGAGACTCATGGTCGTCAGTGAGGACGGTGTGCAAGCTGTCCAACTCTGAGTTGGCTCCCGCTCTCCCGGCTGCAAACGGAATCCCTCCGGCGCCAAAGGGGCTCCTTCCGATTGGTCTCCCGTTGACCCAGAAAGCGAACCAGACTGACCCAGATGAACCAAAGGCACTTTAATTGATATATTCAATCACCTGTCAGATGATCAACACCAGTCCTCGACCGAATGGTCCGATGCGCTCCGAACCCCGGTCCATTAGAGGCTCAGGTTGCTACTTGAATATTCGACGGTGAATTTTGTCACTCAAACATATTCTCGTACTCGTCTAACTTTGCAGTTGTAGCAGCACGGGCGATCATCATGTCCGAGCAAATACCACGCTTTCTGGGCGAAGGCCTCTCCTTTGTGCCACAATGCGGCCATTGTCACAAACAGGGAGTTCCTCTGCGGAAGTGCGCCGGGTGCGGAATCATGAAGTACTGTAGCAGGGATTGTCAGAAGGCTTCGTGGCCGACGCATAAGTAGGTGCTATTTCCCTGCCCACCGTCCACGCACTACCGCTGATGCACCGATACCGAATCTGTTATTACCAGACCGATGTGCCGTTCCCAAGACGCGAACCCCATGAGATCTGCGATCACGCCCGCCGAAGTCGGCCACTCGACGGGAATATCTCTCGCGAGGGCTGTCAACAGGTGGTCCAAGATGCACGACTACACCTGCGACATCATCGGGCACGTCGAGATGATGCTCGACGGGAACTGGTCTCTGCCCGCAAGCGGGGAGCGGGTGCTCCTGTTCGGCCTCGTCTCGAGAACGCCTTCTGATCCCGATGGCAGTCCCTCCGCGGAGTTCACGGTCGACGTGCACTACATCGCAACTCGGCGCGAATATGTCACGCACGGCATCTACATCGTTGCGTCACAGTGGGAGCCGAACGCCGTTCGGAGTCGCCAGGAGCTGGAGGCGAGCCTTCGCGCGAAGCTCGAGTCGGTGGAAGGGACGCCCAAACTAGCCGGGATTCTGCCTAAGACGACCTATTTGGTGGGCACCGGGATGGTTACAGGGGGTTCATGCAGAGTGTACTTCCCCACGGGGTATCAGCCCGGCGCGCCTGTTGACCTGGTCACGAAAGTGTGGCTGAAGCTGTTGTTGAACATCTGCCTGGAGACGATCAACATGGGTCTCGTGCTACGACCTCGGGACCTTCGAGACAGGTCGAGTACGCTCCCTCTGATTGGCAAGTATGTCCAGCACAAGAGGAAATGGCGGTGGCAGTCGGCTGAGGAATGGGCTTGGAAGGCGTTGGCGAAGGTTATGCTAGAGAAATATCTCTGCGTCTATACCCCTAGCGACATTTTTGCTACATATCACAAACTTTGGCAGTATGGTATGCCCGGTAACCCAGCCCCGGCGGAGGAAATGGATTGATTTTATTACAACTTCAACCTACCAAACTCTAACCTTGCTACTGTATATGACATCTAGCCCACGATACTATCTGTAGACATCCCAAATGGACTCGACGTCTTGCTCCCATAGGAGATGGAACTCATGCATTTCTCAAAACGAAGAAATCAGCTTGGGAGGCAGTATCGCATTCGGACGTCTTGGGAGTCATCATTATAAAGGCTATATACTAACATTCGTGCACCAACAGTTCATCTATATAAGCACGACCCTACGCGAGAGTCGACGTGGCCGAGGACAACATGCTAGTGAAGCTCGACGTGACCGCCTCGGCGGAAGGGGCCCCGTCAGCGACGCTCGTCAAACTCGTCGCAACCTGCTCAGGCGAGACCGTCACCGGGAGAGACGTGGTGATTGTCGTGGCCACAGCCGCAGAAGGCACGCCGCTGGCGACGGAGGTGAGGCTCGCAGTTAGGTCAAGCTCGTCCTTGACGACGGCCGTACTCGTTGGGAGAGGAATGGAGGTAGTGACTGTGGAGATTGCGTCGAGTTCGACAGACGGCGCGCTGACAGGAACAGAAGCGAAGCTGGACGTGAGCGCACGTTTGCTGAGAGGCACCGAGGTGGAGATAGACGTGACCGCAGCGACTGCATCCACCGACTGGCTCGCAGGAATGGACGGAATTGCGGTGGTGACGTCCGCGGGAGAGGGGACTTCCGTTTTAACCGTAATGAAGCTCGAAGTCACCTCGGCAGGGGAGATTGTCGGAGCGGAGGTAACGCTCGAGGTGGCATCCAACTTATCGCCAGGGATGGCAGTCGACAAGAGATCCGCCGTAGCAGACTCGATGGGCGCAGAGGAAACCACTGAGGTGGGGAGGGGGTCCGTAGCGGCAGCCGCGGTCACGACAGGCGAAGAGTTGGCGGCCAGGACCACCGTGGTAGGTGGCGCGCCAATGGTGGACGTCAGGGTAGCAACGTCGTTCGCATCAATATCCTGGAACGGAGCAGCGAGGGCTGCCGCGAAAGGACCCGTCAGCCATGATATCCAGCAGAAACGGAGATTAACGCGCACCATGGCTCACGAAGAGAGCAGAAAGAACGAAGTTGAGCATGTGCATCATCTTTGTCGTGGAATAGCGTAGAGGAGAGCAATAAGAGTGTGAATGGGTTTCTTGAGCGATTAGTGGAGATGAAGAACGATGCTGGAGAACGTTGGGCGAACCCGACCCTCTTCTTATACCTCTGTTTTCGGGCGGCAACTCTCTCCCTTTACGAAATCACCTTCGCCACGTAGCCAAGTCCATTCGAGTGCCACCGCAAAGAGTCCGTACCCCAATTCACCTGGGTCGGGAGGGGGTTGCTTCGTTGAACGATGCCCGACACTTCGTGACGAGAGCGCGCGTAACCGCAGCTCCAACGCCTCCCGAGCCGATACTGCCGTCCGTTTTGCCGCAGTTAGCGACAATATGAGCGCACCAACTTTGCCGCTGAGAAGGTGCACAGGGTAGCCTCACCGATTCTTGCAGCATGCAGTGTGGTAGGGCATCTGAACGACGGATATGATAGTATGCGGAGGTGAAATCTCCTCCGTATTCGTTGGAACCGACGTCTACTGAGTAAGCCCCCGGGAACGACGTGGAGCCCGAACACTGCTGACAGAACGCACCATGCAACGAACTCATCGCATACACAGTCATGCCGATGTCTGGGACGCTAGAACACCTCGGCAGAAGGTACGACGGATAGGTAGCGAATGTTGGCGCAATAGTCGCCTTGGATGTGAATTTGACCTCAGGATACGGGGTGGACCTCCGGAACGTCGTGGACTTCGGGTTCTGTTGGGAATGGGTGGAAGGTAGGCTACGATCCCTCCGTCGTAGAGCGTCCTGCCCTTCACCAATAGTCAAAAAAGCACATCTATGTTTGCTCGTCCGGAGTGAAGAGTATACGTACTGTTCAAACCCGCCAAGAGTATCAGAAGGCAACAGAAGTTGGACGAAAGCAAGCCTACCAGATGAAGCAGATAACAACAACTACGACGGTACTCCAACCATTTGCAGATCCATCATGGCAAGGAACACCGAGGCTTGTGTAGCAAACACATGGACAAAGGAGTGCGAACGCAGTTGGCTTAACAGCATGAATACCATCATATATCATACATCACAACTCTGCTCAATGCCGACTTTGGTCTCCTTATGTCCACATCACCAGTGTAGGCGGTGATTCTCGCATTGGTATCCCGAGGGATTCTTGAACAGGTATAGCTGGTGGTAGTCCTCTGCGTCCCACCACTGGCCAGCCGGGACGATCTGCGTAACGATCTTCTTCCCTGCAGACATCGAGCTTCAGAATGGGATGGAAGGATGGATATTGGGGGGTAGACGCACCAACAGGGTCAAAGTGCTCCTTCTGCACCTCTTTTGTGACGCGCTTCGCGATCTCCTCCTGCTCCGGGGTGTTGTAGAAGATGGCGGAACGGTACTCTGGGCACGATGAAAGTAGGGAGAGGGAGAATGGAGATACGGTTAGCGAGGAGGGGCATGGAATGGCAAAAGCGACGGTGAGATGACGTACGTGTACCGGTATCTTTACCCTGCCTGTTGACTGTCGTAGGATCATGCGTACGGTAGAAGAACTCTGAGGTATGCCAACCGGGCGTGATGAGTACGTCCGTATCACATGCAGGACGCCGAGATGCACTCACCGACGAGCTCCTCGTACTTCACTATGCTTGGATCGAACTCGATCCGGACCGCCTCCGCATGGTTCGTCGTGCCGGTGCACACAGTCTTGTAGTCCGGGTTCGTCGCATCCTCCTGCCCACCGGTGTACCCGACCGTGGTCTTCAGGATGCCCTTGTTCTCCTTAGGAGGGAAGTGCTTCAGAAAGATGTGCTCGACGCCCCAGAAACACCCAGAGGCGAAGGTCGCTACTTCGGGCGAGTCGCTGCCTGTGGGTCCAAGCGTGCATCTCCGTCAACCGCCGTTCCAATGGGATGCGAGGGATTGAGTTACGAAGCGCAACACGAGTTACGTACCAGACATGGTTGCCGTAAACGCTGCTGAGCTGATTCCTCTGGAGAGGCTGGGGGTACGAGTCAGAGATGAGAGGAGTCCGGAGAGACGGCTGAGCATAGGGATGGGCGTTGCGTGAGGATGTGCATCTTGAGCTCGCTCATAGTTCGACAATATAGCGCAACGCCACGTGATGTCGTAGACGGAGGTACAGTCAGCCTCCAGTAAGCCGGTGTTGTATGTCCATGGCGATCAGCTCGAGTACAAGGACAGTGTGTCTTAGCTGACTGAGGGAGCGTTGCCTGCGGGAGGAACGGCTTAGTAGTACAAAATGGAAGTATGTGTTCAAGCACTGGATATCAAGGCCAGCGCCCCCATCATCTCAACGCCCGAGGCATCCTGAACGCCTCATTGCCGCCGGGTGAAATCGGCGGTGATCATTGAGTTTAGTAGCGCGAAACAACAGAATGCTTAGTAGTCGACCGAAGAGTGCGCAAAATAGCAATGCGATTCTATTGGTGCACCTTGAGGTATATGATCAATCACAAAACACAGCACTCCTCGAGCGTACAGAATGGACCGACATGGAGAGCACAGGGCACTAGCATCACTACGAAGTACAACAGAAATCCCGCATTGCACTAAACAACGAAAGCAACATATCATGGACGACAGCTAGGACATCAGCGATTTCCTTTTCATCACGATAAACGCCGATTGGTAGGGAACTCTCGCATCCGGGAGGCTTCAGAGGAACTGCGTAGGGTCTCGCCACTCCGCCTCGTTGCAGCCGTAACATTCCAGCCAGTCCCGAGCGTTGTATTGCGTACGGCCCTTTGGCCATTCCTCGAGCTTGACGATACCATTCTTCTTGGAGACCGTGTAGTAGTCATCGTCGATCCGCGCGACGCTGACCATGGGGAAGCCTTGCTCGATGACTGCCTGCGCGTCGTCAACGTCAAAGTGGGATAGGCCGATGTACCGTAGGTGCGGTGGCATTCCTGCGCGCAATTGCTGGCGACCGGCGAGTAGACGATGAGCCAGGTCCTCAACGATGAGAAAATAGTAGACGTACCGAAACGAACTCGAGGGTATTGACCGGGGCCAGTGCCTGCAGCGACAACGCCTGCACACTCCGGGGAACTAACCACATCGCCACCGGTGCAGCCACGTCCTTGGGCAGCGTCGCCGTCAGGCTGCGCAAGCTCGTCAACGACGGCAGCACGCCCCACACCGTCGCATCATAGCCCAGCCTCTTCAGTGCCCAGTCCGCGCTCGGCACCGTCAGCTGCAGCGTCCGCAGCGCCGTCCGTCCTTTCAGGAAATCCGAGATCGCAGGGAACAGGTCGTGGTCGTTGACGCGATAGCCGATGAGCGAGAACGCAAAGTGGTGCAGGAACGGCAGCGCGGTAGGGAACTCCCTGAACTGCGTCGACGCCGTGCACTCGAGGTGGCACTCGAGCCGCAGGCTCTCGAGCTGGTGACCGCTGGAGAGGATATCCGCGAACGCGCGCGAGTCGGCGGGGAATATGCCCTGGAAGTCGAGGTGGGCGAGGTTCCGGATTGAGATTGCCTCGGTCGGGAAGGACCAGTTGGGATTGTGCAGCGAGAGGCACCGGATGGCGGTCTTGTTTTGGAGGAGGAAGTCGTACACCTGGGTTGTCGCGCCACCGGTCGAGTGCAGCGAGAACTGCACGATGTGCTTGAACCGCGGGAATCGTAGCTCACCCGTTCCGTCGGAGGGCCTGTATGGTTCGACATAGAGCAAGGTCAGCAAGGTCACAGACGGGCGTCAGGAACATGAGAGCTCACATGAGCGAGAGGCCTGTGAGCCGATGGCTGACGGTCTCCAGGACACGGAGGAAGGCAAACATGTCCTTCCACCTCATGGCGCAATGGACATACTTCAGGTTCGTCAGCTTTGGTAATGCGTTCGACAACATTCCTGTCTGGAACGTTATCGGGAACGTCTCCCGCCCTGGGACAAAGACACGGAGGGTCTTGACATGGCCCGCAAACGTTGCGTCTGTGATGATTCGGGTGAGAATATCCGCGCTGCGCTGCGACTCGCGCTTTTCAGATGCTGGCGACGATGGGAAGGTGTACGAGAAGGGGAAAAACAATGGCCAGAGCCCGACATCAGCATCGCTTCGCCCACATCAGGATCCCGTTGCCAACCTACCGAGGTGGAGGTCGATGCGCTGGAAGAGCAATTCGCTCGCGATACGCGACAGCACATGCGGTACTTGCAGCAACGATTTGAGATCTCGAGGCGGGAGCCACAGCGCGATCTCTCGCCAGATTTCCGTCGAGAAGCCCGGGGTCGTATGGGGCTGGACGGGGGGCTGCGAGGGTGCCATTACACAGATGTTACATGGATGCCGGAAAGAGGAAGGTATGGGAAGATGCAACTATAACCTTACACCTTCCCAGGCGAGAGCGGGCCACACACCTTCCCTAAATCCACGACGTGCTGGGTCATGAGCGCCGAGGCTTCTGGGTTGTCCGGCTGCAGCTCAAGCGCTGCGAGAATGTCTGTGGCAGGGGCGGGAATGGGAATCGGTGCTGAGTCAAAACGAGGGCGCGGATCTGCCTAGAGCAGCCTGGACCGACCTTGGTGCGCGCCGACGCGCAGTCCAGCCGCAAGTCTCGCCTTCGCCCGCATCAGGCGCGCCTTCGCGGCGTTCCCTGACGACAGTTTGGATATGGAGAGGCAAGACTGAACGGCGTTCTCTATGAGCGTTCTCGATCTACCACGGCGCAGTTAGCCACATACGTAGACGGGGAAACGTGACATAGTAAGTAGGTATGGTACAACACGAGCGAAAGACAAGACATCAGATAGGGACACGGGACAAGAGGCGGAGCGACTACCGACCGGTCAATTTGTAGATGGGCCATCGCGGAGAGAAGGACGTCTGCCTTTTGCTCGTCTGTGAGGCACGAGGTCACGTCGCGGATGCTGGCGTCGAGGATCTTCGGGTTAAAGACATTCATTGACCGGATGGGTGTCGACGACGAGGGCGAGGAATATTGGGAGCTGAGCCCTCGGTTTGGGTGGGCTCGGTGGTGCATCTTGACCGTTCAGAAGCCTATGCGAATGTGTTTTTGACGTGAGGTCGCTGTTCCACGATCCACAGGGGGCCCAATGACGACCTTCGTCACCGGCTCTGCTAAACGCTGGTAGGTGATCTAGGCCTTCCCAACGAAATTGGGGAGATCTTGGATCTTGAACACCGCGAAACACAGACCCGAAGTTGCAGCGCTGCGTCTACGGGACGTCTGCTTGTCGTCGCGGGCGGCGAGTCGTCGTGAGAGAGGTCTGAGATGGTGCGCGGCGCAACGGGCGATTACATTCAGCGTCAGACAAACACCGACTTTTCCCGCGTGATTCCTGCCGCTCGGGCCTGTGCGAACGTGTCGACCTTCACCGTCTCTGCACGGTCAAGAACGTACTCACCAACGACTATCCTGAGCGCAAGGGCGTATGGTATTGCATCCGCCTCTGGCGCGCGAGGACAGGGCGGAGATACCGAATTCAAACAGCCGATCAGGTTTGTTGGCCTGACGCCAGGATGGAAGTTGCCTTACATGGGCAAGTGCCCATAACTTCCGACATGCCAATCTACTTTCGGTCACTCGCAAAGCGACAGAGGCCCGGTCTGCAAGTACGCCTTCCTTCGGGTGGAAACGCATTGACTGCCTATAGCCTACCGTAATCTCTAAGGCTTCATAGTACTCGAGTGGAAAGTATACAACCTTTTGACTGTTAGATGCGTCTCCAAGTGAGGTTGATATGCGCCCGTTGGACCGGAATTCGCGTCCGGACATCGTGACTTCATCTTGCAGATGAAGAACCGTTACTCCTAGTCAAGATGCTGTAGCCTGTAGAGACGATGACCAACGATTTTAAGTTGCTGACGCTGGTGTACGGGCGAGCGAGAGGGCCGTCTCGCCATGTTCCCTCCTATCTTGGATTTCTAGATTGCTATAGGCTGTGAGGTATAGCAACAGTTCAGACACCCATTAATTCTGGTAAGATACAGTGATTAACGGCTCCTTGGGACACCATGGGTCCTTGGGACACTACCCAATTTGCCGCTCCCCTCCCAATGCACTGACCAGAAATAATTCATATATGTATATAATATCCTTGCACCTGTACTGCTCCTGAATCTCAGGTGATCAGACGGATTCATGAAGTCGCTACCCCGATTTTTGTAGAGGAAATCCTGAGAAAAGCAATTGTGTGACTGAATCAGGACAAGATCATGCATGCTTATGATGACTGATTCTCTTGAAATTGGCTATGCATAAGCATTGCATTCATATCATCCTGTTCCCAGCGTTTTGAGGTGATATTCGAAGGGAGGGCCTGGATACTCGTTTCAACGGTGGGACAAGTGGTCCCTCGCTCGTTGGGACGGGCGTTTAGATGTCAATTACCCATATCGGGCCTCGGCTAACGTCGGCTAGAAGCGTTCTCATCTCTACAAGGAAATCAAGCGCCTGTCCCAAGGACCCATGGAGGCACGATAACGGAAAACTCACAACAGTTGCTTCGATCTGGTTCATACGCCCTTGGTTCATCCCACAATTACAGGTGAGCATACTTCATGTGATGCTTTATATAACTACCTACTTCGATTTGAACAGAAGGGACAAGGATCGGCATAATACAGGGACCACGATTTGACTGTCCCAAGGACCCGTTAATCACTGTAAGCCACGATCTTAGGGGTGCTCAATTCTTGTCGGTCGCTCAGTTGCTCGCGCGCCTATTGGGCGCCTGCCTAGCGGTCAGCTCAAGCGTCTGCAGCACAGCGAGCGGCAGAGACACGCAGGCAGCGGGCGCAAAGAGATCGAAAAGATCGTCTCATGCTAGGTTTGTTAGGCCCGGGAAATCAGCCCAGCAAGTGAATGGTGACGTCGGGAGAGCTTATAAACTCGTTGACCTGGACTTATTATACACAATGCGCCCAAGTCGGAAACAGAATCAGCACGACATATATATGGTTCAGGTGAGGGTGCCGCTCTGGGCTCGATGGCAACTGGACTCAAACCTTGTGAGGCGACTCCATATCTCGAGACAAGCAAATCTATAGCTTCTGAATTGTCAAATCCTCGCGTCGCTCTCTAGTCCCAGCTCGGGGGCATCATGCGGTCGTGTTGCACCTGCTGCGTGTCTCTGCTCGCTGTGCTGCAGGCGCTTGAGCTGACCTTGAATGCAGCTAGGCAGGCGCCCAATAGGCGCGCGAGCAACTGAGCGACCGACAAGAATTGAGCACCCCTCTTGTCGTTCAACGTTCAACTAGTAGTCAACAATCATACCGCAACATAAGCGCCAGCGGGACCTGAGTACCACTTCATTGTACTACTTACATTGAAGACATCCTGCCGTCCCAAGTCAAACTGAACAGCTTGCTCAATTTCAAGCAACACGACAGCATATCGGTCGATCATGATACAAGTATTGCTACATCAATGCATTCCACAAGCGAGGGAAACGACTCTAGCGCACTCCTGGTTAGTCACGACACCCTCTCCTCGGTCCTCCGATCGGCATGTGTTAATCTTGCCGGCCCAGCTCACATGTATGCCGCCTCCTCCGCCCATCCGTGGCCGCCACCCATGCCTATCGGGAACACGTCCTCGTCCGGTCCCCAGCCACCAGCATCATCCTTGGACCTCATCGCCTGCATCAGGCACGTTAGCAGATAGACATCATACAGCGGCAGAGCAAACCAGACGAACCTTGGTCAAGTACTCCTTGCTCGCGTTCAGGTGAAGCTCGATCTCATTCAGGAGACGGCTATGCTCCTGGGCGTCGACGAGCATCTTGTCGAGCTGGTCCTTCGAGAACTGCGGGACGGGGTCCGCGAACGTCACGGTCCCGTCCTGGGAGATGCTCCCGTTGATCTCCCCGGAGTCAATCTACAAAGCGCGGATCGACAGCCATCAGCGAACCTAACCCAACCAAGTGGTTCATAGAGAGTGGGAGAGGTGAACAATGATACTGAGATGAACAAAAAAGTAATAGAGACGATGCATACCATCGAGAGGATGATCTCGCGAACTTCCTCAGGGCTGTCAATCCCGACCTCCTTGCCAATGTCAGCGAGTCCAAGAGTCAAGTACGTTGCTGTGAGTTTCTTGATCAGCCACACTGGTGCACGATCGATCGCCTGGTTAATCAACCCCAAGTTCTTCTCCTATTACAAGCAAAAGTCAAACATCAACTCTCGCGAGGTCTGAAGTATGCTGAGATGCAAGTGCGCCTACCTGGTTAAAGATCTCTTGCTCCTTGGCGACGATCTGACGGAGAGTGCTGGCTTCCGCCGGGTATGCCTTGACAAAGTTGTTGTACGGCGTGTTCTTGAGTTGTCGTTGGAGAGCAGGAAGGGTGTATTTTGGAGGAGCTATCGTCTGCAACACCGCGTGAGAGTTCAGCCAACCATGAGTAGATCAGGCACCATACCTCGCCATACTGAATCAGCTGGACGAGCACCAGCTTTTTGAACGCCTCGAGCTGGATCGCCGCGGGCACTTGCGCGGGCGCGCTTACGCAGATTTCGAAAAATTCCTCGGCCTGCTGCCATCGTTTGAGCGAACCGAGGGCGATTCCACCCGCATAATGGTACACAAGGTTATCATTGTAGTGCAGATCTGAAAGCGAGGGGTCGACAGATGTGATCGGATGGGAGAGGACGGGGAGCGCAGCGGCGAAGTAGCGCTGTGTGACACAAAGCCTGAGGAAGATGGGGTGCAGCGTTGTGAGGTAGCTGAGGTTTGGCGGGTATCGTTGGACGAGGTTGGACAGTGGTGCGATCGCTCCTCTCGGCTAAACATCGTAATGCTCGTCAGCAAACATTCTCCCAGAGGGCGGGCAGGCGGAACACCGAAATCAACATCAACTGCGAAGTCCGCAACAACGCCGGGATAACACATTAGGAACACAGAAGATCAAGCACGTTTTGCAGATACAAAAGCAATGCAATATGGGACAATACTTGAAGACGGTAGAAGCTTGTGAATATTGAACTTCAACTCTATCGATACGCCCAATGAGGCCCTCCTATCGCGGAAAAAATGGGATGCTGCGACAATGGAACCATGGGTGCTGCACCACGATGCACCTTCACAGTCGCGATGACAGCAAGCCGTCCACACCAACTCCGCCAGGGCGATACTCGGCAGCGCACTACTACCAGAGCCGTATAGGTGGACGAGGGAAGATCCACGTAGGGCTCTGCGAGACATCCCATGTGATGCAGTACGAGAAGCCTGTAGTCGCAGAGTCCTGCCCGTAACAGCATTGGCAATGCAACGCGTGTCCCGCACGGGCAGCGATGCCTATCAGATAGAACACACTTGGAGGACAGTCCTGCCAAGTCCTCTTCATTGGCGGCGGTCACCAACGTCTTCCGTTTCGGATCTCAATGTAGAAATTTGAAGTATGAAAATTCCTTGATGGCCGGCTGCGAGCGGGGGTATGCGGCGGGCGATACGGCAAAATGCCATTTAATAGACCTGACCTGCCACATCCCACCCCTTTGACGGTAATTGCAAGTCGCAGGGTCGCGAATGCATGTTTCCGGGGTGGAGTCTAGCAGAAGTATCAGAGTCAAAAGGATAGACTCACGTTATGTGCTGCTTCATAGAACCGTACAATGCCCTTCCCAAGCAATGTAACTGCAAATCATCAGCGCCACACAACGCAACGGCATAGGCGGGAAGGCACACCTCGATCAGCTGCCAATCGTGCCTGTGGCGGATTAAACTTGCTCGCAAAAGCTTCGATTGCGTCTGGAAGAATCGCGTTCGCGACCGGGTTTGCAGTACTGATTGAGTGCAATCGCGCGGAACTGCGGTCCTCGTTACGGGTCTACGCAAGCCCTCCCGTAAGATGCGTGAGATGAACGTACAGGATGTATAGGTAACCCAGAGTATTTCTGTGGGGATCAAGCACCGCCAAAGGATCCTGTCCGCTGCCTAATGCACCTGCTAGGATTGTCTCCCGTACTTCCCTTGGTGCGAAGGTCTTCAGGTAGGAGGCGACAATAACCACGTTTGGGTTTGTCGTGATCTGCGTGAGGACGTCGTCCAGTGATGGAAGGCCATGTCCAGAAGCTCCAGCAGCACTCATTGATGACAGAACGGAAGGATGATACAAGGAGGAGGAAACCAGAAGGACGTCGTCGTGGACAAGGGGGACCCGCATACGCGAGCGGCAGACTGCAGCCACCGCTTAGATAGGCGCTCCAGATCCAGTGTTAGCATCAACGTTGCATAGTCTCTTTCTTTCATCCGCATTCGTAGGTCCTCTCACCAAACCCCCGTACAACAGCCTCTTATTGCAGAATATCTTTGCAGGTGAGTGCACTCAAAGCAACCAGTATATTTGAGACCGTGAATTCTCGTCGGGTAGAACTCCAAGCCATGCTGTTCTCCCTCGTGTCTCTCACTAATTGTGTGTCAGACGAAGGCTGCATGAATGGTCTTTCCCAGACGAGTCCTCTTCACCATGGGAGACCAGTCATGAAACAGAAAAGAATTGCATAAGGAGGGAGCGACCCGACCGATGTCCGGTTTCGACTCATGCTCTGCGGTCGAGACCTGATATCAGAATATCCGTTATGATAGCCACCGTCGGCTTCGACTGGCCGGGCTCGCAACGCCTCGGACTAGTATACCAGAGTTTTGGGATCTTCCGAAGCGAGAAGCTTGCGCTTGCGTACATTCCAGTCCGACGTCGTGGTTTCTCTAGCGTATATTCTTGATCAGTCGATTCTGATCCCACTTTCAATGACCACCCTTCAGTAACACAGTCATTTTCACAGGTTGGTCAGTTCCGGGATTGTGGCATCTATTCCCCAGGGTATCGATCGATGAACGGTATCGAAGAGACCTTGGAGCATGCCCTTTGGGCACCGCCCGTCTACGACATGAGTCGCAGCCCACGGAAGTTGTATGCTACCCATTTGCCACAAAGCCAGGTCGACGGCGGCCGCGATAGCTTCACTGTCTTTGCTCGCATGGCCAAATGGTACGTCGACCCACGGCCCATTGATTCATGGGACTTCCCATTTTACACACGTTCTATTCTAGGTGTCCCGACGGCTCAGTCGCGCTCGCTCAATGCGAAGATGCGTCATTCAGGTTCCTTCAATTGTAGGCGGCCTCGGGGAGGATTCGGCTCTTTCGAAACAGAAAACATCTGACTGTCCTCGGTCGTATCCAGACCTACAGAAATGCTCGGCATCTGTAGAGATGCCGTGCTTCCGTCTTCCCTGCCTGCGTGCTTGAGGCAATCGGCTCCCATCCTCGATTACGCATGGTATCCCACCGCCCATTCACGAGACCCAGCTTGCTTCTGCTTTGTGGCGTCAGTACGCGAGTGCCCGGTGAAGCTACTGAACGCATCTGATGGAAACGTAAATATCTCTCACCCGCTTAAATGTCCCGCCTATTTTCGGCTCATCCGCCTATCCTTGTCTGCCCTCCAGCTTCGCGCTTCATATCGCATAGTCGATCACCGTGAGCGACATATTGCGCCGCACAGCGTGGCGTTCAACATCGGTGCCAATAAGTGGATCGATCTTACGTTCGCGTCCTGTCCCGCTTGCTGATTGAGATGGATGCAACCCTTGCCTTTGTGGCGTCAGACTCTATTGCGGCTTCGAGGACGCGATAGAAGTTTTCGACGTGCAGCGTCCCGGAGAAGGCATCCGATTGCGCACGACGCCTTCGAAGAAAAGTAGAGACGGTCTCAAAGGCAAGTTTTCCCGCATGTCGATAACCCTGGGAGCGCAGACGTACTCAGAGCGATGCTTATCGGTAGGAATCGTATCGGCGCTAGCGTTCGCGCCAGACGTGGCATCCGATCTCTACGCTGCGGGTACTCTCAGCCCCTCCTCACCCACTGCCTCCAACATCGCGATTTTCTCTGAGGCTCATGGAGGAGTCCCTCTCACGTTTGTTGGAGCCGAGGATCTGCAATCAAGCGGTGGAGCGGGATATGGGGTGCGGGCTAGCGTTTCTCAGGTGCGGTCCACAGCGTGCGTGCACGCGTGATAACGGCTCGAATGCTGAGAAGGTCACCAGTTGATGTTCAATCCCGGGAGACCTTACTTGCTATACGCGTCCTTCAGACGCATGGACGAGATTTATTGTTGGGATCTGAGAGGCGACATGTGCCGCCCGATAGAGGTCTTCAGCACGCAGGCCACGCAGCTGATCAGCGGGAGAACTCCGAGGTCCCTGACAAACCAGAGGCTCCGCTTTGACATAGACTACGCGGGGAAGTGGCTCGCCGTTGGGGACACAGTACGTCCGCTCCGACACCATGTCTTTCACACGGATATTGACGTTCCATGCACTCGTGCGCGTGGGTGATGAAAAGGAGGGTACCATCTTCGTGTTCGATCTCGCCCCACGAAGCGATACAGTTGTGAGTGCGAACAGCAAAGTTGGCCCTACTCCAAGCACACTGCCAGTGCCACGAACTTTGCCCACTATGCGGTATCATGCTCATGACGGTGGGTCTTCCTGTATTTGGGGTTGTTATCGCATTGTGCATCTGTCTCACGTCTCTACACGAATAGATGCGATAGGCTCTGTAGCGTTTCATCCGCTCCGGTCTTTACTGCTGTCAGTGTCAGGGTCACGTCATTTTGACAGTGATTCAAGTCCAGTATCATCGTCTGCCTCAGGCTCCGAAGAGGAAATAGACGACGGTGAACTCATAGAACAAGCGGAAACACCACCAAGGACACGTGCCGTGTCAAGGCGTCGCACTATACCACAGCCGACTGCATCAGACACCACGATCAGCTTGTGGAGTTGCCCGCCGGAGATGCAGAGCGAAACGTAGGAAGGAGGTAGGAGAGATGTCAATACAAATGCATCGTGCTACGATCAGTGTATTCCTGAAGAAGCGAAAGCATAGCATTACAGAAAACGCGATATCACGACTAGCGAGAGCGAGGTGGAATCACAAATACAGAAGGGAGAGGCCAGAGCAGACGAGAGCAGAAACGGAAGGGATGCGCATGATTGGCCAGGGTGAACTGTCTGTCGTCAGTCACTTTCCTGGAGGCTATTGTGGATGAGCTCTACAGTCGATTCCGAGCGCGGCTTGAAAGCGCATCGGAACGGCTTAGGGTACCTGTTGGCAAACTGGTTGACTTCATCATCCCGGAAATCAAATGCGCCGAAGACTCACGTAACAAGACCGCTGTAATAATCGCCGCTGGGCTCGATGATGTGCCCGTTAGCATCGCGAGGCTTCAGTAGGTCAAAGGTCGACAACACAGAAGCGATGCCGATCCAGACCGATGCCACGGCCATGTACCGGCCGGGACAAATCCTCCTGCCGAACCCGAAAGCTGCTAATTCTGCGTCGCGCATGTCGGACCGCAGACTGCCATCCTCATTGAGCCAGCGTTCTGGAACAAAAGCCTCGGGATCGGGGAACGTTCTTTCGTCGTGCAAGATCGCCCTGGCGACGGAGAGCTCAAAGAAGATGCTTCTTAGACCATTGATGAGACTCACCAGACATTCCCTACAACGATCGAACCTGAGGGTAAGTGGTAACCATTGTATACGTCGTCGGAGGTGAGCCGGTGGGGCACAGCTGAAGCAGGTTTTACTATGAGTATAGCTGAGGCAGGAGTGCGAAACACGTTTGACGAACCTAGCGGTGTCACTGGACGCCACCTATGTAATCAATCAATCAGAAAGGGATTTGCTACTAGCCTGATCGTAGAGGAGTTATTGACCTGAGAACTTCCTTGACCAGTGCAGTCACATAAGGCAAAGAGGGTTCATCGGAAAAATCGGGAAGACGGTCTCTACCGACGACACGGTCCACTTCAATCTGCGCCTTACGTTGAATGTCTGGGTATAGCAGCATCGCCAGGAAGAAAGACCCAAGTGCGGAGACAGTCTAAGGAAAAGAAGTTAGCATGTTCACAGCGTCAATACTGAAATATCCCGACCGTATCAGAGCCACCTGTAATGGTGTGGAATATTGAGAAGTTCCTTCCAATGTAGGGGTGAATAGAAACCGTACCCGTATATGCAGCCGCTGCCACACCGCTGAACACCTTCTCCTTCCGGCCCTTGTCTTGATCTTCCTTCAGCTCGGTCAACAAAGATGCGATCATGGAGGGGTGGGCCTTGCCCTCAGCCTGCATGCCCAGCGTTACTTATATCACATTGCAAGTGGACTGGAGTCAAGCTATCTCACCATTGCCTGTGTGACAGCCTTGAATGGGCGCTCAAGCATCGCATCGGTAGCTTTCTTCCACTCCGCAGCTTGACGCTTGAACGCCGCCCCTGGGAACCAGGAGGGAACGTACTTCACTGCGAGAGGAAACGTCAGCTTATGGTCCACCAAAGGAAAGAAGGTACTCACAGATGGGAATATAATCAACAAGGTACGCCCCTGCGTTTCCGGCCATAGAAATTGCATGCAGCGCGGTCTCTGCGGTGGCTATATACGGGTCGTTGCTTGGCTGGACGTCGATCCCATACGTGACACCCAGGATGAGAGATCCTGCCATACTAATCGCCGTGTATCAGTGATCTCGGCAACATCTAGCAAAGGAGGAAGACGCACTGCCTTAAGTGGGTCATGAAATCGTCGGGCGATTGGAGGAGACGTGAAAGGAGTTCCCGTGCAACCTTCAGTTCTCTCGGGCGGTAGCCTACGCTCGCGTTCGAATGGAAAAATTGATGGAAGACCCGGCGGCGCTCACGCCAATCGTCGCCGTAGTCCATGAAGAGGAAATGCCAGTTACAGCCGACCCTGTGATACAGGTTAGCGATGAGTTAACGAAAAGGCAGCGGTGACGTACAGCTCGTTCAGCATAGGCAAGCGGACCCTGTCAGTCCGTGAAGTTAACAGGCTGTCTCACCCATTGTCCATGCTCACAACATCAACACGAAACACGCTTACCTGTCGGAGTACATCAACGATCTTTTCTCGAACAGTTCATGCGCAGCTTGAGCGGAATTGACGACGACGACGGGAGTACCTGCGAGGTTGAGATGAATGACATCTGACCCTGTACGTAGTAACCACGTCAATCACGCTGATCCGAAGATTTTTTTGAAGGAACCTCGAGACGTACGGTACTCGCGACTCCAGCGATCATAAGCTATCCACTCATACTCCTTGGGTATATCGAAGACATTCCCAAGGACCGGGATGCCCTTGGGGCCAGGCGGGAGCGACCGCCTCCGCTGGCGAAGGAAGACGCCAATGGCCAGCGCGGCGGTGACGCATAGAGCAACGACCTGCAAGTCAATCATCAGTAGTGAAATGGGGTGTGTGTTGGGGAAAGCTAGTCAGCCTGTCGTTTGACACTGGGCGTATTTATCGTACCGCTAGGGTTTGTTCCCCGTGTACTCCGTCATATGTTCATGAGCCTCGGCAGTCCCTCAACAGGTGGGCAACGCCTCGCACACCGCAGGAACGTGGTTTAGCCGAAAGATGTTACGGCAGGCAGTATTGACCCATCCGTACTGCCCAAGGGACTTCCTGGATATGGTGCCAATGTTCCGGCGTCGAGGGAGTGCTCTGGCCCGCATAACGGTTAGGTAAAAGGCATTAAAATAGCACGCACGCTGTTTCGTTCCAGTTTTGCCCTTGCTGTCAGCGCCCAGTCTCTCTCTGGTCTTCCGTTGCCAGCCTTGTGGCGGCCTCGCTCGGAGATCCCCAGTCTCTCCTTCGGGAAGCCAGCCACCGCGGCTCTATTCCGAAGTTGCAAACTCGCATTCCCAGGTCCAGCTCGTGGTGCAAGGCCAGAAGCTGCAGGCAAATGACTGTCCGAGCCCCGATCGAACGCCGAACCGACCTTCTTCCTCACTCAGGGTCGTCTTTCATTTCGATGTGTATATGAATGGCACGAGCATCAAGACGTACGTATGTAACTATTGCACGCACTGGGCAATCAATATGCTAGGCTGACCTCACAAGCTGCGCGAATCGATGGGCTGCGATAGAGCCATGACGACCCGCCCCCGCTGTGTGTTCTTGTCTTGCTCGACCTCGATTACGACCTTCACCTTGTCAAACACTGATATCGTGATCTCCTGACCCCTGGCGGGAACTGTGATCGTGTAATTATCGGCATCAAACTGGATCTCGTGCTTGAAGGTCACGAGCCCTTCGATTCCCAATCTGCGAAAGTAAGGTTTCGATATTCTTCTCACCCCATACCAGATCGTACGGTTGGCTACGTACCTGGAAACGAAGACGCCGAGACCGTTTCTGAATGCTCGAATCACGTATGCATCCTCGATTACCGTTTCTTTTGAACTGCGGGCTTTGAGAGCAAGGCCGACGTAGAACTCGACGCTCGCTCTGCTCGCCATCTGGGCCATACGATGGCGCTTATTGACGATTTCGAGCACCCGTTCCACGTGGGATTTGGAATGAAGGCTGGCGTGGAGGGGAGCGTAGCCTATTGCCGCCGCGAGCTGACGGTGAGCGAGGACGTCTTGCCCACGGTGGGAGAACGATGATGAGATAACGGCAGCGACGGTCCAGAATGTTTGTCCTACCTGCGTAACGTCTGATCGGGCTCGTGAAGTGGGTGTAGATGGGGCTTGCTAAACCATAATGGCCGAAAGTGTCCCGAGCCACACTGCCGGAGCAGAAGTACTCCGCCGACAACATGCACCGGGTGGCCATGATGCGAACTAGCGTATTGAATGCAGGCTCGTTGGGGTCCTAAAGATACAATTGATGTGAAGACGGCGACAAGGCGCGCTATCGAGCATGCTTACAACACACTTGTCGAGAGATGCAGCGAGCGCGCCTGAGCTGGAAACGTCAAGTGTCATCCCCTTCCGCCTCCCCAGGATGTCCTGTAACTTTTCGAAATTTGTTCTAGGGGGTGGCAGGTGTCGCCTGTCGGCAAAGTCTTTAGCATATAGAAGCCCGTTGTGGCTAGGTGGAGTATAGACAGACCTGAGGACCGCGGTTTGTGGGAACGTCTCCTGGATCTTTCGCGCAACGCTGATATTGGCGAGGAGCATGAATTCCTCCACCAGGCTGTTGGTCTCACGAAGCTCCTTCTGCTCCACGTCGACGGGGTCCGATGACTCAGAGCTGTCGAGTTGGATTTTGACTTCAGGGGAAGCCAGATTGAGTGCGCCCGCCGCCATTCTCCTCTCCCTCAGTTTCCGGGCAAGATCGTTCAGCAACCGAATGCTCTCTGTAAGTTCATCTGAAAGGCCCCTGTCGACGGATGAATCATCATCTGAAACGCTCTCACGAACATATGGTTGACGTACGGGTCGTCCTTGCGAATTTGCGCCTCTTCGTACGTAAAAGCCGACTTGGAGGCAATCACTGATTTTGTAAAACGCACGTTGACGATGTCCGCCTCGGGAGATAGTTCCTGTGAGCAGATTCCTTCAGCGGGCCGATCTGCATGAGATAGTTATGACGACATGCCCAAATGACGGAGAATGCCAGACGTTCCACGTGAGGACGCAGGGAACAGAGGTTAGTCCCGAGGAGAGCGGGTAGCATGTCGATCCTCTTGTCTACCAGGTAAACCGTCGTCCCACGAGCCGCGGCCTCGCTGTCCATAGGAGTGTCAGGATGAACAAAATGCGACACATCGGCGATGTCTATCTTTCGCATCAGTATTCAGTCTCCAACAGCTAACGGGACGGACTTACGGACGCCGGCCTCGATGTTCCCATTTGGGAGACGGCGCGCGTGGAGGGCGTCGTCAATATCTTGGCAACCTAAACCATAAACCAACCTTAAACTCTTCCAGATCTGATCACGAGTCGCACCACGCACCAGGGGGGTCGATTGAACAGATGATGAGATCCCGTAAATCTTCTCTGTCCTTCCAATTTGGGTCGACCGGATTTTTCGGGGGCACGATCCACTTGTCACCCTCCACGGGGAGACAGTCAAGAATCGCCTTGCCGAACGGCCTGTAGGGTACATCGAATTCCAGGAGAAGCGACTCCTGCTCCGCTTCCTTACTCTGGACCTTTCCGAGGGCACGGATGAAGTGCCCCTCCGGGTAGCGAGACGTTCGTTCCCATCGATCGATTGTGACCAGGATCTTCTGCCCAACAAGCGCCGGAGCCTGGCGAGTTCGTAGCCGGATGCGCGGAAGTAGTCGGGAGACCGGCGTCGCGAAGACGGTTTGCTGAGACAGAGAGGTAGGATTTGTCGAGGTCAGAGATGTGCTATCGATGTGACACACATATCTGTAATGAGAACGAACGGATGTGTGAAGAACAAACTACAAATAGCTAGAAACTGCAGTCCACTCACGATCGCCAATTTCGCTTGATGATGCCAACGACGCGCCCAGTGGGTTGTTTGCTCGACTCCGCCCGCTTAACAGCTTCAGCGCGCAGCATTTTCTGCTCGGCTAAGGCCTCGTCGTCGTCTGTCTCCTCTTCTGAATCGTCCGCGTCATCGTTCTTCAGAGTAGCTATTGATGGTATAGTCCGTAAGGGCGCCATATCGTGAGATAACCTGGAGGCAGTACCTTCTTGGTCTACAACCTCATCCGCTGGCGCTTTCCAGTCCTTCTCGTCGAAAACCTCGACCGCGACGACGTCCCCTTGAACAGCACGGTTCATGTGCTCCCTGCCGACGAGAAGCACGGGTTTTTCGAAGCCGGGAACAGGCACGCTTCCCTGAGTATTGCGTCAGTCGCCGGCACGCACGATTGCCGGAGGACATGGGCGCACCTCGAGATAGTTGAACTGATTGGCGTTGAAGTGGCCTTGGTGCAGCCGGCCTGATTTCACACCTGCCAAGAGGGTCGTCGTCGGCAGGTACTGCGACGGGAGTAGTTGAACCAAACGAACACATGACACATGCGGAGAACCCACATCTGGATAGAGTGCTTGGCGGGCTGCCGCCGCCGGAGTAGGGTCCAGGTTATCTGAACCTGCGGCTGCAAGGAGGTCGAGTAATTCATTAGAGTCTTTGAGACCCTCAACGTATTTGCGGACTAGATTCTGGTTTTAGTGCGCTGCTTGCGACGGAAATACTCGTGAGACATACCAGATATGCAGGAGAGACCTTCCTTCTCAGCTTTCTGGCAATTGGCGACGTCATCGCTCATGAGGACTACAACCGGCAGAGGCGGCCTTGATTGACCCCGAACGGGCGGTCGTGCCAGAGACAAATGACAATTATACCACGAAGTCGCCTTGCGAATCCCTTTGAGGAAACATCGCCAGATTCAGTACAGCAGAAGGTGCGAACGGTCTCTATGTACCTCTGTCATTACGATCATTCGGGGACTCGCCTTCTTCACGAATCACAGCGGTTTCCCTGCAAGGTTGCTATAGGTATGCCAGCCACAACTAGTTGTCGCATTCACTCACGAGCGGTATTCATTGTAGAAGACCCAGATATTCTTGTCGTCGGCTTTTACCAGCGCTTTCAAACGGTTGTAGAGCGGTAGGGAGCGGTGCCTGACTTCTTCCATGACGGTTTGGAGTATTATGGTAGGTGGATTGAACTTAGGGGATTCCATTAAGTCCATCTAGATTTACAACATTGAGTTTGTGGGGTGGTATGGGTGTGGGACAACATCTTAGCGCAGCCAAGGCGCTGAGAGGAAAGTTCACGAGTCCCGGATACAGAGTGAGAAAGACAAACCTGAGACAGAAATATGTTCGTGTCGGGCAGCACGAAGTGCCCACTGGGGAACGAAGGGTGACTCAAAGAGCCGGAAGAAGGCAGGACTGCGTCCCGACTGCTCGCGCAGAGGGTGCAACTGTGCATGCCGCATGCAACATCGTCACGCAGGTACCGCTCCCGGAGGACTGACAGAGTTGCATTGGCTATGGAGATGCACCGTACGACAAAGTTTTGGACGCACCCTTTACGACCTTCCCCCTCGCAGTTTTCTTGAAGAACTTCCGTTGAGTGACCACCGCCTCCGTCCGAGGTCGCTTGCGAATCGAAATCTCGGGCATACAGACGAAAGATGTGCAGATATGAACGCCTGAGTATACCAGATGTTACATTTACCTTTGGAGACGGCAGAGGAGACGCTGCGATTGTGCAAGTCAAGGACAAAGGCGTCCGGCCCGGTGCGCTGTCCAAGAGATACGAAGCGGCGCCTCAAAGTAAGTAATGGGAGCAGAACATTTGACGCCACACCAAAGTATCTCCGACAGTCGGACGTTGAACACTCCGCACCAGTGCTTCCGGCGTGTCAGATGCACTATGCTTCAATCCTGTATACGGGTAGAACGTTGTGTTTTTTCCGTCTTCGCAGTCAGAGTACCGGTATCGGCGCAACGTCTGCAAGCATCACCTGACCCCACGAGGGAGGTATTATGGCACGCACGTTCGCCATTGACGCTGTATAAATGTCCGTTTCGTTGCCCATCTGGCTACTCGCCGCCTTGTCAACCATGAACCGCTACGTGGCGTGGTTGTCGCGCATTCCGGTCCTGTGCTACCTAGCGGCGCTGTCAGCAAGCCAGCCTGGCACCATATCGTCTGCAGCAGGTGTCTATAGCTCCTCAGTAACTCCGGCCAATCTCCCTTGGAATACGTACAACTACTGCAATGCCCCACACGTCAACGAGGAGCATTACTCGAAACCGACCAACCACCCGCATGCCAAGCTCATATACATGAACGCTGTGATTCGTCATCATAAGGCAGGTTCCGGAGATGAATCCAAGGGTGGCGGAGACTGACCAAGACCCATCAACAATGTAGCGGACTCCCGACAATCTCTATCCTCAAGAGAATGAGCTGAACTCCATCCCCTGGAATTGCACAAATTTCCCTCAGTTCAACTTTGGAGGGAGTCCTGCGGCACAGATCTTCCATAACACGGACGTTCCCTCATGGCACCCTTTTCTCTCACTCTTTTGGAACGGGACTTGTGACGAAGGCCAACTCACCGAAGAAGGTCTCATGGACGCCGTTGCACATGGACAGGTGACGTTTCTCCACCCTCCACCGTCAACCCCCCTCGGGAGGGCACTCCGGCTTCTCCCATGCTCGTCTTGTCCTCCAAAAGCTGACTTCCGTCTAGGACTTCTGGGAAGTCTATAGCCACAAAGTGGGGTTCCTTAAACATGTTACCGAGAAGCACATCTTCGTGCGAACATCCGTCGAGACTAGAACGATGCAGGTGGCGGGTGGTTTCGTAGCCGGCATGGATCCAGCGTTCGCGTCAAAGACCTTCCCCGTCACCACGCAGCCTTCTCCGGTAAGTGCCGTAGTTTTCAGGCAATAGACGTGAATTGTATGTACAAGGGATTGCCTGGGAGGTGATCATCTATGCAGTAGCCTCTCAGTAATGCGCTCCTGGAGGCATTGTTGCAGCAGACTGACGGCCTCGTGTTGCACGTTCCGGCCGTGATGGCCCTTTCTCAGGTCAGGCAGACATGTGGCGTTACGGGGCGAATGTCCGAGTGATCTTCTTGCAGGGCTCGGATCGCCAGGGGCATTGCTTTGAACCCCTCTTTTCGCAGTCAAGATGTAGATGTACGAGTAGATGAATGTCCGCTTATTCTGACTCTCACGCTGGGTCTTAACCATCCCAATAATGACCTCGGATGCGCAGTCCGTGAGATCTCGGGACCGTGTCTTGTGCGTGGTGTCACTGCCCGAGACGTCCCATCGTGTCCGTCTCTTCTCTCATCTCGCTATGTCCCGCACAGCTCCGCCTTGCCAACTTCTCTATATTACCACCGTTCATCTCAGTCGCTGACGACGTCTTCTTTCTCACAGATCGACTCCATCCCGCCGAACTATCCGTGCAACGGCGCGAACAACGTCCGCAACGCCTTCCAATCCGTCCCAGCATGGACGGATCATCTCCAGCAAAACGCAGACCTCAAGGCTCGGCTTGATGCTACGCTCGGCACCGCCGGCCTTGCCGACTGGGCGTCTTGGTGTAAGTTTTGGAATTAGACTTCTTGCTCCACAGAGACCCCTGTGCCCTGAGAGCGGGGAGCTCAGAGGCTGACCACTTGTTGTCGCCTGCCCACAGACGATCACTTCTTCGACACATTCTCCTCGCGGACGTGCCACGGCCACCCCCTGCCGTGCAACTCCACAGGAGGCTGCGTCTCGGAAGCCGATGCCGCAAAGGTGTTTGCTATCGGTGATTTCGAGTACAAGTGCGTTGAATCCTCCTCGGCTAGTTCCAGGCAGCCGATAGCGTGACGGGGTTGCTGACTTCGACTTCTGCTTCGCTGCAAAGCTATATTTGGAACGCTGCGGAAAACGCGACGACTTACAACCAACTGACGTTCGGGGTGTTCATGCAGGAACTCTCGCAGAACTTCAAGTTGTTCCGGGACGGCGGCGAGTCGTTCAAGTTGCGGTTTTACGTCGGCCACGACGGGACGATGATTCGTCTTGCGTCTGCCCTGGGATTCGGCAAGGTCGCGCCACTCCGGTGGCCTGCGCTAGGGTCCGAGGTCATCATGGAGGTGAGCTAACCTTGAAGGCTAGTCTCAACCTGATCGAGGATGCTGAGGCAGAGTGGCGATTGCAGGTGTGGGAGACGAACAAGAAGACGAACTTTGTGCGCGTCTTCCACGAGGGCACGGTAGTGCCCGGGTACGAGTGGATTGCGCTGGACACGTTCATTGACAGTCTGGATGCCCAGATCCCTGAAAACATTGCCGAGCAGTGTAACGCTTCTTGAAAGCGTGTTGTAGTACTCCACACCATCAACAACACAAGGCAGCAGCACATGCCATTGGCACTGGGAACCTCCTGTGTGTGAGGATATACGCTACTCCTATTCAATGCCCGTCCACCACGATGGCGAGCAGTATGCTCTCTGACCCTCCCGATCGCATCGCTCAACATAAACCTCATCTTTGCATGCAAGCTCGACGTCATTTGTGTAATTTTTCTAGAATTGACCAAGCTCTAACGATGCTCCTGCCCTGCTGTCCGGGGGGCGACGCTGGGGAAATTGACCGATGTTGGGCTGTGTTAGTTCTTCGCACGACGTGGGGAGCTCACACAGTTCGACGGCCTTACATTCCCTACTCGATGCATTGTTGTCCGTGATAGTAGTCACAACGTTCCAGTTAGACGGTAGTGACTAGTTCACAGATCTGCACATTGGTCTCATTGCGAGTGTACTCCGCGATGTGCCTTTGCTGCCGATCCGTGTACAACTTCCCGGGTCATCATACGCCACGTCGTCGAACTCAGACTACGGCCCGGGATCTTTGAGGCTCAATCCGAATGAGGCGCGCAACGACTACCTGACCTTATGCGTACAGTATCTCCGGCTGCTCCCCCAATTCCAACTGAGAGAATCACGCTCATTCGCCATGGAGTGGCTGTTCGCGACTGCAGGTGAGACCTCATCAGGCGTGTGCCCACAATATGTCACATTACCTAGCTTTTTAAGAGCGATCTCCAGGATTGTCGACATCATTGATAGCCTAAGCCACCACCGTCGGAGCAGGTCCTTCAATTCAGGAAAAGCACAACAGGAATACCTGAGGTTCTCAATGTCTTCAAGTGTATCATGCATTATCTCGGACACGATGAGGAACCACAAGTATATATGGTTCGGAACCATTTGCAAGTAGAGTCTCCTGCCTGAAGAGTATACTATGGGAATACTGCCGACAATTCGGAGTCGGCACTCGTCGAAGTTGGTCTTGCACTACCCCGTCGAAAGCTCCCACAAGCGCTTTAGCGCTCATGATATTTCGAGGAACCGAAACGCCAGGGCGCTACAGAGGTTTGCCCAATCCAAACAGCCTCTTCAAATCCGGTGGCCGCGAACCTTGTCATCTCAAATTAAGGACAAGTACGTTGAGGGTGTCCGTTAGTGGGTATATACTGTGTCAGAAGATCCATAGTGAAGTTGATGGGATTTGTTTGGCTCTTCGGTAGAGAATGGGCTAGGGCGTCTATCGAAGTCGAGACGCGTGGATGGCGGCGTCACCGTGTTCCCTTCCTACTCCTTGGATAACATTCTCCGGGCCCCCTCTAGGTTTCTGCGGCCTCCATGAGGCTCCTATTCCTATTCTTAATCTGCTTGGCCGCTTGCACGCATGCTCTGCACTCATACGAGGTTGGCGTGACTGACTGGCACAAGCCTCTCGCTGGCGTACCTCTGGTTCAATCGCATTCTACAGCACCGGTATTCCACAGACGGAGATACCAGGATGGACAGACGAGCAGTGTCGTTTTAACGGCCACGCAGAGCAACGTGCTTGCAGCGATCCATTCGGCGAATGGATCTATAGGTGAGTGAATGGACCTACATCCTCTGTACACGCGGGGCTCAGGAACCAACGTGGTCAAGTGTAGCGTGGCGACATATATTCGATGATGATGACCATATCATCGGTTTTCAGAGGGACACAGATGGTGAGTGTTTCCCTCAAGTGAGTTCCTGTTGTCCTGCCAGTTGCTGGTGGTATTGGGTTCCGCATCTCTGGGCGAATGTAAGGGACAAGTTGCTCTGTTTAAGTGTTCAGCATGGGGACGATCACATGCTGGCACTCACATCAGCCTTCCGTGACCACAAACTACCTTTGTTAATCTACCAATGCGACCGTATGGGGATGCAGCCACCTCTTCTCAAGGCCAATACATTAGTGAAACCGTTCAGGAGATACTGCCAGAAAGCTATCGGAGATTCGTAGACCTCGAAACGCTTTAGGCAACGACCCTCATGCTAACGTTTGTCCACAGTCGTCGTTGCCCTTTCCGGTCCTGGAGGGGCTAATTATCGCGTCTTCGACTCCGATTCAGGACATCTACTCCTAGAGAGGAGACTACACGATCTCGCAGCAGGCCGCCTGCAAGAGCCCGAGTCCCTGGGCACCGCTGTAGGCTTCGGAGCGGAACAGAAGGAGAGAGACATCTACGTGCTTACCAATGGCCACACGCTCCGCCGTCTTGACCGTCATACCGGCGAAGTGAGATGGGGATGGACAGCGCCTGATCAGACGTATGGATTCCCAATTCGACACTGGTGATGGTGACACTGATTATCTAGAGCACAGTTCTTCTGTACTCTATTCGAAGTTCTTCGTAACACACTCCGCGGTGTATCTTCTAGGCCTCTCGAAGTCGTTCGCGTCATACACGCTGCACGTTACGTCCCTCTCCCCCGATAGAGGCGAGGTCATCTACTCGGGGAATGTCCCTTCCAGCATCAAGACCGGCTTCTCGCAACCTTTCTTTCTCAGTGACGTGAGCGCACCCGACACCGTGCCCCGCGTGGTCTGGTTCGAAGACGGCAAGATCAAGTCCCTCGAGCTCGCGCCGGAACTGATTGCGAGGCCTGCCACGGTCAAGGGCGCAGCTTACAAGACGATCGAAGACGTTGGGCTTTCCGAATACGGGCAGTTCGTTGCCATCGCTGAGAATGGTACCGGTAGGGTGATTAATCTCACCCCCGAGGGTTTGAAGATAATCTGGGAGTACACCGATTCGGTGCGTCTTTTCGCTGCAATGCTTCGCCACCGGCTTGCGGACGCCTCGAGTTGACGGCGTTCCTCCCCACTCATTCCCATTCCTATCCTCATTCCATCAGGCCACCTCCCCAACCCGTAGTGGCTCCATTTACTCCGGGGGTCTGGATGTCGACGGTCATCCGTATATTGCGCGCGTGTTCTGGGCGCATTCGCTGAAGGCGAGTTCTATACTATATCTCGACAACAGCTGACACTCATCAACGTTTTAGACGATGTCCGCCCACGTCTTTGCTCTCCACCTCGCCGAAGGGAAGGGGCTAGTTACGGGATACACGTTCCCGTTCAAGACAGGGGAACACGGTATCATTAAACATGTACGCCACTATTCTAATGTCTCCTTTGCGCGTTCTCTCATCTCGCTTTCCGTCAGGTCGCAGTAGAAGCGGCCAATCCGGAGCATTACAGAGTCCTCGCCAGGCTGGCGGTGACTACCACGACCGGTGCTGTTCAGATGTGGCAGAAGGACCAGCTGCAATGGACACGTGAAGAGGGATTGGCCGACATCCGCGTTGCCGAATTAGTCGAGCTTCCAGAGAGGAAAATCGCACTCCATCTCGACAGCGAGCACGAAACGTTTGGGGTGCGTGTCGCCCGCCAGCTTCTGGACGCCCAGGTACGTCGTCCTCTCCTCTGGCAAAGAGCAGTGCCCTGCCCCTGAGCGGGGCCCTCTTCGAAAGAAGCTAATTCCGAGTTCGGAAACGGATAGGACTTCCCGCAATACGCAGTAAACTTTGTGCGACGCTTCGTCACGGGCTCGTACACATCCGTCAGCACCCCCGTCGTCGCGCCTACCAACGCATCCGAGCCTCTCTCGCGTGATGCGTTCGGGTTTAGGAAGGTCATCGTCGCCGCGACACCGTATGGGAAAATATACGGCATTGACTCTGCGAATGGGGATGTCCTCTGGAGTCGTGTCTTTGGTCTCGGTTGGGCGGCGCAAGTCGGCGGACAGATCATCCCCGCCAAGTTGTTTGTCACGCGGACAGTTAACGACGGCGAGTCGCCGCAAGTCGTGCTGGTGACACAGAGAAAAGCGAGCAATGTAAGGCAAGGTGCTGTCCTCTCCCCAGCTTTGACTCATGTGAAAACCTACAGGGCCTCGTCGACACCGTTCTCTTCCACGTCGATGCTTTGACAGGCGAAGACGCTCGCAGGCAGTCCCCCAGCAACGACCTCTTGCAAGGCGAAGATGTGGTCTCGGGTCCCCTCGTCGAAGCCTTCCTCCTTCCTACTGACGCCGGTCGCGCAGTCGTCCTGCTCGACGAGTTTCTCCAGGTCCACCTCTACCCGAACTCCGACGAAGTCAAAGCCGCGTTCGCAGCCGTAGCGCCCTCTCTCCGCATCCCGCTCCGCTCCGGACCGCCCGGCCAGCGTCGCCTGACGGGCCACCAAGTGCCCTCTGAGGTCGAGTTCACAGGCCTGCACATTGCATACCCGACGTGGTCGCTGCCGTTCCCCACTGGAGAGGACATCTTCGCGGTCTTCGCGCGCCCGACGGATCCTGTCGCGTCGCTTGGGAAAGTGCTCGGCAACCGCACGACGTTGTACAAGTACCTCAACCCGAACCTCGTGGGCGTCGTGACGGGCCCGCCGTCGACCGCACCGTTGAGCGAGAAGGCGACGTGTGGAGTGTACTTGCTTGATGGCGCGAAGGGCACGATAATATATCATGCTATCTTGCCTTCCGTCGGGGGCAGGTGCGATGTCAAGGCGACGCTGGTGGAGAACTGGCTGGTGTACCACTACTATGACCCTGAGGTGGTCGTGAACCAGGCAAAAGGGTACCGAGTCGTCTCTGTTGAGCTGTATGAGGGCCGAGGCGTTGACGACAAGCGTAAGAGGTACGAACGTTGGTTGCGTCTGCCCATGCTGTGCGGAGACTAACCCTGCGTGCAGCTCCGACATGTCTTCGCTCTCGAATGCTACGACAGACGTGAGCGTGTACGAGCAGGCGTACGTCTTCCCCCGGGGCATCCGCACCATCACGCCGACGTCGACCAGCTACGGCATCTCCGTCAAGGACATCATAGGTGAGCTGCCATATGGCCCGCACAACGCCGATGTTAACCCATGTTCTAGTGGCCAACGAGAATGGCCAAATTCAGTCATTCCCCCGTCGCTTCCTGGACCCGAGGCGTCCGAAGCACAAGCCGACGACCGAGGAGGCTGAGGAATGGCTGATCCAGTACGACCCAGTGATTCCTGACGACCCTAAGCGGGTCTTGTCCCATCACTACCAGGTAGGTGCATCCACTCGAAATACCGAATAGCACCCACTCAAAGTATTCTGCGATTATTGCAGGTGGCGAAGACACAAAAGATTGTTACTTCGCCGGCCCTCCTCGAGTCAACGTCGCTGGTGTTCGCCCATGGGCTAGACTTGTTCTTTACGCGGATTGCGCCATCGAACACTTTCGACGTGCTCAGCGAAAGCTTCAACAAGCCGCAGCTCGTGGTCACCATTGCGGGCCTCGCATTCGCCATCGTAGTCGTGAAGCCGATTGTGGCGAGGAAGAAGCTGAGGGAGCGGTGGTATGACTGAGCGGAGCTAGACTGTGTTCTTGTCTGTGTTGCGTTCCTGGGTATTTATGTGTACCTTTGTCCCTATTCCTCTATACGTAGAATCACACAGATTCGCAACGGCCCATGAGTGTTGCTCGATGCTCCACTAGTTTCTACCGTGCAAGTATCTTTGCGATGAAGCACTCTCGTTTCGATCGCATCGCGTTGGTCGGGGTCTTAAGTGTTTGCTAGGCTGAGCTTGGCCAGCAAACACGACCACACTCAAGCTTATTTTACCTCGTCGCTTCCTCGCTTGGCAGTGTCTCACCTGTTTTTGTTACGCGGTAGGAACTTCGGGATCCATTCCGAACTGAGCTATCCGCCAAAGCATCCAAGATAGTGCACATCGTACACCCAGGCTGCAACGAGGCCCTTCTATCCCTCCGTGCCTTCGGCGAGTCACTTACACCTACCGAGACGGTTTCATTGCGTGAAACGCCGGCTCGTTCTCGATGCCTGCCGTATCCCCCTCCCTCCTCAAGTTTGCCTCCAAAGGCCAGCCGGCTATCTGGCAACTTGACCATGCAGGGCAGCAGCATGCATTAACCGACGACCCCCACTTGCCCTCCGGCTTTTACCACTACTTTCTCAGCCCCTCTGAGACCAAGACCAATTACCGTATCGTGGACGACTTTCGCGCATGGACGTTTCCCGTGAGCGTTCCTCCCCACTGGTCTCCATCTAAGAATGCCGAGGAGGTGGTGGAACTTCGGGTCCGTTACACCAAGTTTTCTTCCGCGAGTTTTTCCCACGCGTTCAAAATGGACGACGGGTACTGTCTGATCACTAAGTACCCCAACGGGGCGCCGTTGGATTGCATGGAGACTGCCCATACTTGGCACAATAAACCTAGTTGCAGCTTGCGAGAGCGTTCATCCCGTACTCAGGGATTAAGAAGATTGCCTCGCAACTGCCGTGGCCCTTGTATTTTGTACGAGACGGACTTCCGCCAGTGTACTCCACGTCACATCGCCATACTGTATGAATGCCTGCTGTATAATCATGCGTACGCTGTATATCTTCGTGTCCCATTATTTCGCTTCCATTCGTGCCGCGCTCTCGGGCCCGTAGAGACTACAACGAGGTATGCAAACCTCTGGGATATCGGGCCAGGGAGGTATCAAACCTCCCAACCCACGCGGTCTGAGTGATACGCGTCGGTTAGAGTTTCGGTTAGGGTTCGGTTAGGGTTCGGTTAGGGTTTGGGTTTGGGTTCGGGTTCGGTTAGGGTTTGGGTTTGGGTTTGGGTTAGGCACTGCTCACACCTCCTCCTCCCCCAAGAAGGGAGTCCGTCTGTATTTATCGCGCGAACGAGGCTTTAGAGTGCCCGCCTGAGTGCTCCCGGCTCGGGGGACCCCCCGAGCGCAGCGAGGGAGGGGAGGGAGCACGAATGGCGGGTCCTCTTCGCGCAGCCCCCATCAAGCGCCACAATGGTAACTTCGATCATCAAAAAGTGCGCGCTGATGCGCCAGCGTCGGTGGTCTTCCGTGTCGCGCGTCCCCCACACTCCTCGCCCGCTGCACCTGCACAATGCTCTCCGTCAGTTGGACAACGCTGTCTCCTCAATTGCGACTTCCTCAGAGAAGGAAGTGTCCGCTTCTTCGAGCTCCTCAAAGTTTGTTCAAGTACAAACTCAGTCTGTAGCCTCCCTCAATTCTCCCACTTTATTTTTTTCCTCTCCTTCTGAGCCGGCGCCTGAATGGTGATGGACGATTGATGTGACCAGAGGCCCCTTCCAGAGCTACTCCCCCGCGCGAATATACCTCAGAAAAAACAGTACACCATGGCTAGAATACAAACTCAGCAACTGAGCTGAGGAGAGGTCAACGAGCAGCGGAACGACGACCGACGCTGTAGACTAAGCGAGGCGGGAGGGCGGGCGGGCGCTTGCTGCTTCAATAGGTGAGGTAGCCGAATGGCGCATCGATGGAGGGTCGCGTCGGGCTCATTCTCCTCCCCCAGCATGTGTCCGGTGAGGCTTCTACTCGTATTCTGGTGGATACACATCAAATGCATGTATGCTGTAAATTTCATGTAGTTCTGACTATGGGAACAT